AATACAGCTGGATAAACTGATTTCAGTGAACTTGACCTATAGAAACCAGTTCACAGACAAGTATTTGCAAAGTGGAGCTTTCAGTCTATACTATTCCCAAGCCAATGCTCTCCCAGGCTTTCTTGTTTTATTAGAACAAGAAAACTACATACTGTTAAGGGACAACACACAGAAATCACTGCATAAAAATACCCCAAGAGGTAATGACCCATGTAAGCACAACCAAAGGAGCTGTTATTTAAAGTGTACATTTTTCACCAAGGAATAATTGTCAGCCACTAATCTGCCATGTAAATACGCATAAAGTCATTCTTCCTCAGCAGGAACATTGTTTATCCAAAACCTCCTTCAGTGCCTATACTGGCCAGCCACTGAACAGCAGATGTCTTTAGACAAAGCCGTTTGACAGCAACGTCTCAGAGGACTGATAACAGTGAAGACTTGAGCCTGTTAAAAGCATATGCAATTCTGCACAGCTTTACTACATACCTGAAGCCCAAGACAGTATATTTGAGTTTGTCCCTCTAAATGATATTCATCCAGCACCTCCTAAAGTGTCACAAGGATTTCCATGTAATCCATTTAGCTAGGGTTCAGATTGAAGAGTGCCACATAGAATGGCTAATCACAGAATCACTAAGATTGGAAAAGACCTTTAAGATCACCTAGTCCAACCACCAACCCATCCCCACCATGCCCACTAGCCACATCCTTCAGTGCCACATCTAGACATTTCTGGAACACCTGCAGGAACGGTGACTCCAACATCTGTCTGGGCAGCCTGTGCCTCATCATTCATGCTGCTGCTTTTGCAATGCAGAATAGGCCAAATTTACAGTAAAACTGATCAGTTCCCATGGGATTGTGTACCACAGCTGTTGGGGGGGGGGGGGGGAAAGACTATAATAGGAATTGAATCAAAGCACGAGAACAGGAATTCATGCCCCCTGTTCTTGTTTCCTCACAGTCCCATTGCTTCCTGAGACAAGGAAGGCCACTTAGGCCTGAGATGCTGCACTTGTGCTCCTGGGATCTAGGGGAAGTCCCAGGTCTCATACAATGGTTCTGATTCTCTCAGGCAATCTGCCAACGTCAGTGATTTCCATCTCTGTTAAAACAGCAGCACAAATACAAAATGGACAGAATCTCTGTGAGACCTGAGAGATTGTTACAGTACCCAACTGACCACACAGCCTCAGAATGTCTCACAGAGCTGCCAACAGAGAGGTGCTAGGATGCTGTCATGATCCTCTAAAAATCACTTAAAATTAGCTTGGATTGCATTCAAGAAGGATGGCAGCCCCTGGATTATAGGATAGCTGTAAAGCATAACAATGACAAAAAGGTAGAAAAGCAGCAGAAGCAAATGTCTGCAGCTGATAGCATTAGCTGGAGTCCTGCTGAAATGAGGTCTTCTGTGATAAACATGTCCATTTTTCCTACTTCTCTGCTTCTGCCATCATTTCTGAGTGCTTCCTGCAGGCCTGAGTTTTGCAGTGTAGGAACACAGCCCTGGATAACAGTTTGCCCAGAGGATGTTTTTTTTTCAAGCATTCAGCCTTGGACCCCTGTCTGTAGATCGATCAATACGTTATTCTGTTCAGTCACTAAACTCACATTTAAGAGCATTCAGGTCTGAAACCATTGGAAAAACTATTGATGTTTTGAGATGAGTTTTCGTTTCAATGCACAACATGCAAAGAAAAAAACCTCATTAGCCCCCTTAGTGAAAAGATGAACTAGGAATACTCACACCATCAAAAGAACTGGTACCTTGGAAGATACCTGCAGGTTTTCAGATGGATCAGATGCACGTCCTCATGGCAGCTGTGGTGCCCTGCCTGCAAGGAGCCTGCCCAGGTTCCAATTCTAGCTCCACTGCCACATCCCACCCTAGCATCCTGCTTCCCTCCAGCCCCATCAAGGCAGAGATGCTGCCCAAGCCCTTCCCAGGTCACAGCCTGCCTGGCTCTACACTCTGCTTCAGTGGTTCCTCAGCTTTGGTGGGGGTTCCTCAGCTTTGGCTGTGGTTCAGCAGCACTGTGAGACAGGTTGGGCTCCATGAGAAATGGAGTATGAAGCAAAGTTGTCTTCTAGGGTTTCTATTAGTATTTTTCCCCGATTGTTCAGATGGAATTTGCATTAAGTGGAGAGCAGAATTGAATTTTTGCAAAACACATTTCGACAAGGCCTTGTTACCTCATGCAAATAGGAGCGGCCCGCAAAGCCGCTAAGCGGATGTTTCAAGGACTTCAGCTCACATTCGTATTTTTTGTATCTGTTCCAAGAGAATGCTTCAAATCACAACTTCCAGCTGCAAAACAGATCCAGCAGATTTTTGCCCACAGTCAGGAAACCAGCCTTGGAAAGCAAAATTGGGATGTGCTAACTCCCATTTAAACCAATATTACAGTTTGTTGCCTTCTGTTTATGCAAGTATCTTAATTAATCTTCACAATGCGTGGCTGAAACAGGCACTTTACAGCTCTAGGATACCACAGCACTGCAGACCCAGGATAAAATTAGATTCTAAATAATGGCCAGAAGCAGAGTAGTGAGGAACTTAAAAAGAAAATAATTTAATCCTTCTAGATGAGCTCCTGGTTTATATAGCCCTCATGTTACAAACAGCAAGTGCTCTGGCTGCCGTACAGAGAATAGCTGGGCAAATCCCACCACGATGGTACAGCTTTGGGCCTTGGGACTGCTGTGAGGGACAAGAAGTGCCACCCCTGGGCTGCAGCCCCACCACCTGCCCAGCCCCCATCCCTCCTCATTCCCCAACTCTGCCATTTGGACTGCACATACATGGCAGCCCCTTTGTTAGCTGAGGCACAAAGCTGCACCATGACCAGCATAATAACTGCATTCATCATCAGTGGCAGCAGGATGACGACAATATAAAGCAAATAGAGTGATAACTTAGGAAATGAAGAGACTTACAATATAGGCATTAAAAAGGACATCAATATGCATTAGCAAGAACATGAGTTATAGAACTATTCATGGTGATTTCAAAAATTACTGCTTGAAACAAGCAACATGAAGATACGTACTTTTTTGGCTAAGAGCTTCTCGATACACAAGACATTAATGACCATTACTAGGAGAAGCTCTGAAAAGAAGAAAAGCCCTGCACTTTCATACTGGTGCACACTTGGATTGACACTGCTTTCAGTATCATAACTTCATTTTGCCTCCATAAAAAGCAGCATCTAGAAGGAGTAATAATGATAGAGCATCGGGAGAGCAACGTTTTAGCAGCTTTAGGGTTCATCTCAGTTCTTTCCTGACTGCTATTTACAAAGCAAACAGTAACGTTGAGCTGCAAGGTTCTGTTCCTACCTAAGCAAAGGACAGCAGTGTCCAAGTAACAGCAGCTAATATTAATTCCTCTGCCTTTCTTTCCTTTTTCAAGAGGCCCTCCCACGCAGTCACTATGCTTCTTGGATCACCTGGATGCTGCAAAGAACCTATCCTCAAGCTGTTTTGTGGGAAAGTAATGGGTAACCTTCATTTGATCTTGTGCACAACAACCTTTGACTTGCTGAGAGCATGCACATCAGCATACTGCGCCTTACAGCACACCTACACTGAGGCTCTGTACCTCCCAGGCACCATTATAAACCAAAAGCTAAATGTGGCTGGGAGCTAGGAAGATATCCTTTGGAACAATTGCTACATGCTTACCTTCTCCTCATAGAAGCCCACGCATATCTTCTGTTGGCCAAAGAAATAACTGGGTTAAACAGACATTTAGTGTAATCCAGAACTGCTGTTCTTGTATAACCACCACAAATGCCCTGTTAGGTAACCTGTGTAATTTTGGCATTAAAGCTGCAAACCACCCAACTCTCTGAAGTTACTTAAAAAATTACTCGTTTCAACCCCCAGAAGTTTTGTGTTCGCTCTCAGTAGACACCATCTGTAATGTCTGGGAAGAATCTCTCCTAGGGCACAGAACATGTTCTCAGAGGGACAAACGTGGCTGTCACCCAACATCAAAACTCAAGTGGTGCTTCCATTTTCTTTGATCAACTGTAGGTGACAACAGGATGCAGACAATTCTCCATAGGTAACTTACTCACTTCTCTGACTCTCTCTCGCAGCGTCTGTTCAGGCAATGGCATTTTGCAACCAATGCTCTCCATGTGAGTTTACACATACATGCCTCACAGTTTGCTCCTAGGAAAGATAAACATTTTATACCAAGGTTCTTGAACAATAATCTGTTGTCTTCTAACCTGGATTGCAGCTTTAAACACTCCGGCCTTCTGCACTGATTTCACACAAAGATGTAAATCCACTAGGAAATGAAGCTCACTATTTTGATCAGTGCTACTGATAACAGGCAATGACAGTTTTTCATTCATTTCCTCAAATACTGCAGTAGTTAGTCTATAAAGACAAGGTAAATGTTATGCCACTATTTTTTATTTGCTATATTCAGTCAGCATCTGAAACAAAAACAAACACACTTCGGAATGCTTTTTTTCCCTACACGAATAACCAATACAACGCTAAGCTACAATCATTTTCAAAGTTAGGTAGCACGCTCTGGCATTAACAGTCTCTCCTTGTGTTGAGGAAGACTACCTAAAGGACACGCAATCTTGACAAATGCAGACAGGCTTTTTGCACAGTATGTGCACGCACACACACTACTAAAGAAAATACGCCTCACTTCATAGTGCAGGCAGCCAAAAGCCATACTCGTTTTAAGTTAAAAAAAACAAAGACTCACCTACATCACAGTATTACTGCTTAGTTTATCGCTTCTGCTTTGAATTCTGTGCTTTCATTTAACGTGTCTATGTTTTGCAACTGTGTACAAATTGCAGAATTATTTTGTATACCATTTAGTATCTGTGCATATCCTTTACAGCTTAATGCTACACTAAATTAAAAGAAACCTTAAATTTTAAGGTACTGACAACAATAAAATTTCACTAAAAAAAAAAAACCAAAACAGTATCAATATTTCTTGTGGTACAGTATGCTTATTTTTATGCCAGTTTTATTTTATGCCATAGTTTCCTATTATTCACTGTATAAAGAGAAACCTAGGAAAACAAAATCTAAAATGCTGTGCCTAAATTGATTAAACTCTGGTGATTTATGATATATGTACAGTATATAAATATATTTATGTATATATGTACATATATATTGATTAACATTTGTTATAAATAGAACTGTTAACTTAAGCAGTATAAAAATAGCCACTCTCCTGGGAACATGCAAACGCAGTATGCTCTCACCTAATCTATAAAACCCAAAACAACCAAAACCTTTAGCTCTGATTTTCTACAAATATAAATTGAAGACTTTTCGTTAGTTTAGCCATAAAGTATGTTTTTTCCAGTAAAGATATAAAATTGGTTTGATGCTAGCTATAATTAAGTTCAAACACAGAATATTTTGGGTTATTTACTTTCAAGTATTTTTCCCATGTGAGCTAATTCTAGACAAGCTGCTTTTTTTTTTTTTTTTTCTTTTACAGTAAAATATTCTTCAGCTCTAAACACTACAAGCCAAATTACAGGCAATCTGGCATGCTTGCACTGCAGGGAAAAGGCTCTCTTCTACACTATTCCTATGTGGGAGGTTGTCCTAATATGGCTATTTGTGCTCCAGATCTTTTATTCATTGCAAAACATTACCGAGATTCCCATTTTGTAGATTCTTAAGGCCAGAAGAGAGTACTGTCACCACTTAGTCTCATCTCCTGCTCCCTGAAATTCACTTTGAGGTCCCTGCATTCAGCACAGTGACAGGTAGCTGGAGTAAAACACCTCTCCTGTTACAGCCAAAGAGGTTCCAGCTTCAGAAGTTGATGGGATCTTGACTTTGTAGTGACTTTTCCCAAGGGGAAAAAAATTCGGTTCCATCCGGTTCCATCTGAACCAAAATGACATTTTTCCTGTTTTCTTGCCATATGAAAAACTGAAAAATTGTCTGGAAACATTCCATTCTCCTCCAAAGTGCTCTGAGTACTAGCTAGAAAACCAAATAAAGAAAAAGGGGCTGTGCTCAAAGATGACACTACTTCTGTTCCTCCAGATGCCTAACAGCCCAGCACATGCAAATGTAAAAAATGAAACAGAGCTGAGCCCTTACTCTGCTCATAAGACTTCAACCCTTATCAAGGAGAAATACTTAAAGCAGTTGACTATGACAAATATGGCATATGTTGAATTTCAGTTCCCCTTTTCATTTTGTTTCATTCAGCCAAAAAAACCCAAAACATTCCTACACATTCCAAAGGGAAGAGGACTCTCCTTTCCCTGCAGCCCTATTATCCAGCACTTTCGAATGGCTCCTGCAACCTCTCAGAGTTTACATAAGTATTTTTTACAAAGCAAAACAGCATGGAAGACTCAAGGCACATTCTCTTCAGAACAACATTCTTCCTGTGATTAGGAGACATATTAAGGAAGTAGGAAATTTGAATGCAAATGGCCTGGGCAGAGGATGGAAACCTGCTTTTTCATTCCTAGCATTATTGTTTGCACATGCAACTTACTGGGTAATAGAAGGATCAGCTAGATACTCCCCTCCAGCAGGTCTACAGATACTGCTCTGGAAATGTTTTCCAGATGAAGATATTTGGTGTGTTTGGAATAAATCTGTGACTACCTTTCTGAGATAAAGTACGTATTGCAAAGTTTCACCCAGCTGTAAGTCAGGGCATGCAATCAGATGACCTGGATTTCAGTGAAGGCCCTGCTCTCCTAAAGACAGATGAAGTTGCTTGTCTGAGCCTTTCTCTCTGGTACCTCTGAAAGTGATATTCCCACCTCTTTATTTCTCAAGCAAAATGGCCTGATGTTCCCAGTCACATCCTGCATTTCTTTCCCTATTCCCAGGGTGGCTCCCACACTTTTCCCCAGAAGTCCTTCCTATGTTAGAAGTGATGAATCTTTGTTTAAAATAGCACAGTCTTCCAGCTTCAATATTTTCAGGAAAATAAAAGATACATTCTATTTCTTATAGTAAGTAGCATATATGCACCAAAACAATGTTGTGGATGCCCCTGTATTAATTGTTTAGAGAGCTGTCATTGGAAGTTGGGGACTGGGAAGTCACAAAAGGCTCATTTGCCTTCTGATCGTCCTTCATGGAGGCTGCTTGGTCTGAGATGGAGGAGAAAGAGAGCTGGTCATGTTCCATTATATGCACGTGGTCCTCTTCCTTGTCCTTCTTCACATAAAACAACTTCCTAAACTTTTTGAGCTCATGGAGTTCACAGAATGTCTCAAGAACCACCAACATCGCAATGAGGCCCAGCAAGAGGTAACCTGGGTACAAAAGGAAAAAAAAAAAAAAGGCTGTAATTATTATCAAATTGAGTGGGGCTTGAACACTTTTAACCCTGTATCTTCCTCCATATATTCCACCCCTGCCATCTCTGAATATTATGTTAATCTTCTCTCTGACCCAGTTTGGGCTGTCAAATCCAGCCCCTGCTCTCTTGCATTCTACAATCAACAAGACTCCACATAATAATTTTTAAAAAGTAAGAGTAGTGGTTTAGAATCTGTTGCAACTGTACCAGAGAAAAGTATGTAAAAGCATTTAACGAACTGGAATCTTAAAATTTAACTTAACAAGCTTATTGATTACACACTCTCAAAATATTTTTTAACTCTCAGACTGAGACCTTTAGAATCGGGGTTCCAGATGACTAGCAGCTCATTATGCTCTTTTGTTTTTCACTCCAAATGTGTAACTGAATTGGAGTAAAGGCATTAAAATGAGCATTTCTTAATCCCAATGCTTCATTAGATCCTTGCAACTCATCATTACAACGTATCAAGGATCATGACAACTTGAATAATTTATCATTTCAATGAGTAAATCAAGCAGAAGTGTATAATTATTAATAAAACATGCTCATCCAAAGGCTGAATATTAAATGTGCTGAAAGATCAACACAGATTAATTACTACAATCTACGCATGGACAATGCTCTGTTACCAAAAGGCATAAATATTTTACAAGCAGTTGCAGATTATTCACTAAAAATAACATTTCCTTCTCTCTTCCAGGAGCACTGTTAAATCAATACTGCAATACCAAGAGCTGATCTAAATCAACACTATAGCTAAAATATATGAACTGTTTTTAATCTTTATCTCATGAATTCAAATGGAACGTATGCATTAGCACAGGGAGGAAATAACAAAGCTATGCCAATTAAAAGGCATCTATAAATCTGCAATGAGAACTTTTAATCATTTCTGAAACACTGTCCAAGTAATCCAACACTTCATTTAGGACACCTGCATTTTCCTTGGAAAGCCTGCAGTAATCATTAAGGGTTTTCAGATCTGGGACTCCACAACTTTTCTTGGAAGAAAATTTAGGTTCAGAAAGAGAACAATATTTTTACACATTGTGTTTTGTTCCATGACTTGTTTGCATGAGAGAAGAAAGGCTAATTCAAAAGTTACGACCTTGGATTATTTTGTTTCAAATTAGAAATAAATCACTTTGCCTATTGGCTACTTTTTCCATTTAGAATTTCTTTCTGTTTGTTTTCTAAGCATTCTAAAGCTTGAAATTGAAAAGTTGTCTGTGTACTGAAAAAGAAAACTTGACTTTTCAGGTTAAAAAAAAAAAAATTAATCCCAAATGTCATCTTACAGTTTTTAAGGTTTCAGAATTTTTACGATGTATTTATTATGCATGACTTTCACCACTCAATCATTTAGCATCACCAGGTTAACTCTGGAGATCAGCAGGATAGTAATTAAAAGCTACTGTCGGTAACATAAACAGGATGGGGAAACGAAAAAATCTGAAATGACCCAAATATTGCACTTCAGATGGGGCCTCACAAATGCAGAGGGTGACAATCACCTCTCTCTCCCTGCTGTTCCCCCTCTTTTGATGCAGCCCAGGATACTGTTGGCCTTTCAGGCTGCAAGAGCAGCTTTGAGTGGCTTTTCATCCACCAGAACCTCCAAGTCCTTCTCCCAGTCTGTACACATAGGTTGGATTGCCCTGACCCAAGTGCAACACCTTGCACTCGGCCTTGTGGAATCTCAGTAGTTTCATGTTAAGTTTTGGCTAGTTCAAGGACTTGTTTCCAGGAATGCAAAACACAAAACCAAGCTAATGGACACTTTGACTACATTATGATTACTGGATCACGTATGGGAGTCCAGATAAAGACATGGTAGCCTAAGACACGGACCTGACAGGATGGCTTGCTGTTTTGGCTACTTAAATCTTTCAATGAGTGCCTCTGCTGAACCAGGACTGTGCAGACCGAAGCCAGATCAGAAACATTCATTCAGAACATCAACACACAGATCACTTTCTCGGTTCTACTTTTTCACCTAATCACTGATCACTGTGCCACTGCTCTGTGTCAGACCTAATTAAGCAATTATAATTTAACATTCAAAGTCTTGCTGTATCATCATTTCACTCTATTTGTATTACTTTGACAGCTGATAGGTCCTAAAGCCAGCTACAGCTAGCTTATGTTACAACTGGAGTAAGAAATTTTGCTCTTCTGCCCATTTCCCATTCCTCCTTTATCTCTGTCTGCCTGTCATCTCACCTTACAGGATGACCTTGGGCTACAAGGATCATTTTCTGACTCTGTGATGCTCTGTGTAATCTTAGCTCCACGTGCTCCTATCCATTTTCATAACAATAACATGAACATTTTTTTGCTATTATTAATAAGATAGTATATAGATATGTTTTAGCACAACAGAGTTTTGTTTTCAGATTCTCCTTTCTTAACTAGGAAACTGACTATTTAAAGCACAGTTGCCTATAGTTGCCTTCAGCTGCAACACTGCATAGTTAGCAACAACACCCAGTTTGCAAGCTGACAGCTCACAAAACAATCACCAACTCTGGAAGAGACACATAATGCCTATTTTTTTTAATTTTTAATGAAGTGTCTCTTAGGTAACTGGTCAGCTTGAACACTTACATGTAATTCCAATTTTATACAGCTCTCGGAATTTTTGATTGTAGCCTTCTCCTGGCACATAGTCTCCTAGGCCAATAGTGCTCAGGGAAATGAAACAAAAGTAAAAAGACTCCAAAAAATTCCAGTCATCTTCCAGAACAGAAAAAATTGCTGCTGGGATAAAGAAAAAGCATGAGACAGTGATGAACCCAAGGACTACAGCGTGGATGATGGCAACAATCTGCTTGGAGAAACCCCAGCGAATGTGGAAATAGAGTACAGGCCGCCTGGTGACGTAAACAATGATGCGCTGTACCACTGCTGTCAGGAAAAGCAGCGTAAAGGGGATCCCGATGACCGAGTAGATGATGCAGAAGGCCTTCCCTCCATCAGATAAAGGCACTGTATGTCCATAACCTAGAATAAAGCAGAGGGAAAACATAGGCTGAGTCAAAGCTTAGACTTCGCGTATCCATTTCATATTAGATATACTGCGTGAAATAAAGAATAGTGATGGGATCTGCTGACCTGGCTTAAGCAGGTAAATGGAGTCTAAGTACTGACAAGAAGGAAATGAAAATCCAAAAATATTCTTCTATTTCAAAATGGTAAAAGTAACTATATTAATGCTTATTTTTAAGAAAAATGTAACATGTACTCAACAGCAGGAAACCTACAGCAGGAAAACTGCTTAATTCTGGGTTTTCCTACTGACCTTTTTGCTTAGTTTTACCAAGTGATGCAGCAACTTCTTTTACTCACCTTGTCAAGAAGAATCATTCATACTCCAGAAAAGCATTCCTAGATCTACATAGTAGTAAAATGCTCTAAGTCCTTATGTGAAAAACATTGAAATTGGACTTAAAGCATTTAAATCAACACTCCAGACTGTATGCTTCCATACTGCCAAGAACTGTTTAGATAATAAAGCATCCAGCATTACGAGCAGAGCAAAGATTTTCACAGGAAAACTCAGGGGATCAAATGAATATGGCTGGATTTCTGCCTTGTTGTTTGTGCTACAAATACCAACAATCATTTGTTTCAAGTGCAGAAATCACAGAATCATAGAATTGCCTTGGTTGAAGAAAGATCATCTAGTTTCAACTGCCCTGCTATGTGCAGGGTCACCAACCACTGGACCAGGCTGCCCACAGCCACATCCAGCCTGAAATGTATTCACTGTTTTTTGTTGTTGTTGTTTGGTTTTTTTTACAAGGCAATCAAGGCCCATCTCAATTCCACAAATGTGTGGTGCAATTACACCTGTACACAGCGCTAGCAGCTATGCCATCAAATGTGCTCAGCCTGGTTTTAAGTGCAAATCATGGGTGCAAAAAAGAACAGCAAAGCTTCCACTTTCTGTTCTACTCATCCCTAGAAACGTTGTACATCTAAACTGTTTTTGACTGTGAGTAAGTGCTGAGCTGACATCTCCTTGGCCTTCTCCATCAGAACCTCAGGCCTTGCCCCTCAGAGATGTCCCAGTATTCATCAAAGCAGATCCCATAACTTCATATGTAAATGATGGCATTTGTTACGTATTTCATTTAGCATTTTATCCTACTCACTTTCCAGTGCTATTTTATGATCCAGTTGCCCAGTGGTTTTTCCATCCTTACAACCTTAATTTTGTGTCTTTAGTCTCTTTTCTAGCTCATCTACAAACACATTAATATAATTGAACAGCACTCATCCAAAAAAAGGCTTTTGAGGAACATTCCTTGTGACGGAATCACAAAATTACCAAGATTGAAAAAGACCTTCAAGATCATCCAGTCCAACCATCTACCTATCACCAACAGTACTCACTAAACCATGTCCCTCAACACAAAATCCAAATGCTCCTTGAACACCTTCAGGGTCAGTGACTCCACCACCTCCCTGTGTAGCCCATTCCAGTGCCTGACCACTCTTTCAGAAAAGTAGTATTTCCTAACGTCCAGCCTAAATCTCCCCTGGTGCAGCTTGAAGCCAATCCCTCTAGTTCTATCACTGGTTACACGAGAGCAGAGGCTGACCCCTAGCTCACTACAACCTTCCTTCAGGTAGTTATAGAGAGCAATAAGGTTTCCCTGAGCCTCCTCTTCCCCAGACTGAACAATCCCAGCTCCTTCAGCTGCTTCAGTCATCTACCTCAAGAACTAACCATTTTCCCCCACTGTTTTTTTTTTTTTTCTTCTTTTTTCTCTGTTTGTTTAATCTTTCTCTTATATCCATGTCTGCTTTTAGCCATTTCTGCATCTTTTTGTTGCTTCCTTGCACCATTACTTCTTCAGGGAAATGGCTTTCTATGATCCTTCTATAAAGTTCATAGCATGCACTGGTTCTACGCAGATAATAAAACATATGCCCATTTGCCTTTTCAGCAAAAACTATAACATTCAGAAGCCTTAACAACTGCAATCCTAAAACATTTTTATTTTTATAAAACCCTAAAACTTTTGTTATGACAAAGGAACCTCACGAAGACAGTATTACTGACATTCTCTTTATTACACTGATGATATTTAATCTGTCAGAGAGGAGTTGAATGGAATTACTATGGGGGACAAGAATTAACCTGCCCACGTAGCATCTCTGAGAACTGGCACACCGATTATCAAGACAGAGTCTAAGATTTATGATGGGCTGTAATTTCTTATGTATAATCTGAACATCAGACTACAATCACTTCCTTAAAAACACGGACCTTTGAAAAACCAAACTTTCAGAAAAGCTGCCAAAACACAGCAAAGTGACACTGAGTTTAAAGAGTATTATTTATACCTAACTCTTTCTATTGACTATTCATAAGTTAGAAGCATCATTCCTTCTAGAAAACTCACACAGAAATGCATACAAGACCAGCAGTATATGCCGTATTAAATAAGATCAACCCTCCATCTAGTTCAGCATCCTGACATGGACTTTTACTTAATTGTTCATACAAAGAGCAAAACTTCTCAAGATGTGCATGTCTGGTTTTCAGTTATGACTATGTATTGGAAAAAATCTCCTTAAAAATTTTTAACTCTTATGACTTGGAGAGCTTCAGCTGTTGTGAGTTTACACAAATACACAAAACATCTCTACCTGCTTGGATGTAGTTTTGAATGACCCTCTATTCTACAAAATTTCTTATTTTAAAAAATAATTTAATATGCTTTAACTTTTTTATATTGACTTTGTTGCAGAGAGTCACACAGGTCAACTACGTGCTCAATAAAATTAGACAACAGACACCTACTACACAGAATGAAAGAAACACTACATTATGCAGCAGATCTATACATGCCAAACCATCTACTCAGACTCAAATTATCTCTTGGGAAAGGTATTTTGCCTTTTCTACTTCTATCAGCCATGCATTGGGAAAAACAAGTGAACAACTTCAGGGATGAATACATAGGCAGGTAGTTAACAACTTCTTAGCACACCATCAGATGTAAACCTCTCTCCTCCCTGCTGTAGGGAACCTGCTTTGGCAGGGGGGTTGGACACCATGATCTCTGGAGGTCCCTTCCAACCCCTACAATTCTGTATCACAGATGGGAAAAAAGAATTTGAAGGACTGGAAAAATAGGCAAAAACTGGTTCATAGATTAAAAAAAGTGCAAATCAGTAGTGCTGCGCTTCTGCTAGAAAGGATTTTTCAGAACTTTCACTCAGAAGTTTGAGACAGTTTAAAACAACTAAAAGACGACATTTAAAAGTTGTTTGAAAAAAAGCAGAAGGAAAAAAAATCAAGAGGTCACAGTTGAGTTTCTTTAAACAAGTCTGAGAACTCCGATGTCCAGCCGGGACAGAAGAAGGAGAAAAAAAATCCCATTTATGGTGGGCATTTTTAAACAAAGGAAATCCATTTGCATCACATTTTCGCTGCCTCCTCAGTTGAGCCACTAATGGAACTGATTCTGTGTGCGCTGGGAGGAGGAAGGCATGCTGTAAACCGAACTGATTAAGTGACCTGGGTCAAAAAAATGAGGGAAAGTGAGGAGGCAATTTGCTTGCAACTTAGTTCATTTCTCTAATTAAAGCTTATGGTGCAGTCCTCAAGCAGCTGCAGCAGCCTAATTAGGAAGGCGACGAAGGGCGTGGCAGAAACTGCTTAAGACAGTTTTGTCATAAAGGAAATCATTAAGTCCTTGCTCACACAGCAGCATTAAGGGTGATTTAAAACTCCCCAGTTGTAGTGATTTGATTTAGTGCTGCTCCAGCTCCCTCCAACGACACATCCCTCCAACGTCTCTAGAACAAAAGCGGTAAAAAATATTTAAACAATTAAGTTAATCATAAAAACTACATCTTTCCCATAATGATTTTTCACCTTATCACTTCTCAGAAAAGAGAATTCTATTTTGCCAATTACAAGTTACAATTTCACTGCGAAATTACACAGGTTTCTTCCAAAGCAGAGACTCCAACATACTGACATGCATCTCTGTACTGACTGACTGTACACAGCTTCAGTTCCTTCTGAAACCATCTTCTACTGCGTCAATGCCGAAGACTATTAATTCCTCAGAACCACCGTCCTGCCAGCTGAGACTGGAGTTAGCTCAGAAAGAACTGGTTCATATAATGAGCTCATTAACGTTGCCTTCTGCACCAAGAAAGGTGGAAATGGCATTGAACGCAGTCAGTTTTGTAATAAGATTGTGTAAGTCACTTGCGTGGCTGTAAGGATCATCTGAATCTAAGGTATCAACCCAATGACATGGATATAATGGTACCTACATTTAAAGGTGGCTTCAAAACTAATTTCTACCAGAACAGTTGTACATCAAAGCATTTATATCTTGGAAAGTATATAAAGGTTACCACATCTGCTCTTACACAGGAAGGAATATTTCACCTGTCCGAAGAAAGAAACAGGTCTAGAAACTCTGCCTACAGATTTCAGGAAGAGGGGATGCTGATGAATAAAACTGTGGAAAATGTCTGAAGGAGAGCAAGAAATATTCCCCATATATAGGTAAATACATTGTGATAAAATATTTGCTTTATGATCTTACATTTGGTATTGAACCGCCAAAGGGTTTGTATCACTGCTGGCAAAAAAACACTCCTGTTTAATTCCTGTCCTACTAATATGTCATAGGTCAGCCTAAACACAGACACAGTGATCTACTGACACATAACACACCCATTTTCAGAAAGCACAGCAATCCTACGTGAATAGTTTAGTCTGCATGAGGTTTTATTGAGCTTGATCTTTGCACAAGATAATGCTTCTGTTGGGAAATTACTTTGATGAAATAAATACTTTGCAGCAAAAAAAATTACATTAAAATTAGTCAGTTTTTTAAAAAATAATATATGAATAATTATATTTTTAAATGTATGTTGTAAGCATTTGGAACTCAACATACAAATAACTATTCAAAATAAAAACAGTAAGAAAGATACCTATTATCACACTAGAAACACAGTGG